AAAATAAGGAATGGATTCTTCCAGAGGCAGGAAAGACGGAGCCATGATAAAAACAATAAACCAAATAATAGGGCTTCCAGTATGAGTGCTGACGCCCTCCTCTGCTTGGGGTTTGAAGGGCACTATGCAGTCTGAACTAACTGCCGGAAGTAAATCCTTCTCCCTGAAGTCCACAGGCTTCACCCAGACTGCCTTTCAGAATTTCTTCCAGGGTGAGACCACTCCTGAAGTAGATCACTTTATATTATAGCCAAACAAAAAGTAAGGGCTGTTAGGCTTGTGGTGAGAGCTGGGGCATAAAAAACAATACATGGTAACCCCTCTGTACGGTATCTTTATAATAAAAAATATTTAAAAAAATAACAACAAAAAAAGCAATACATGGCCAGGTTCTGGTGGCTCACTTAATACTGGTAATCCTAGCTACTCAGGAAGCTGAGATCTGAGGATTACAACTCAAAGCCAGCTCTGGCAGGAAAGTCCATGAAACTCTTACCTCCAATTAAGCACTAAAACCAGTAATGGAGTTATGGCTCAACTGGTCAAGTGGTAGCCTTGAGCACAAAAGCTCTGGGACAGCACCCAGGCCCTGAGTTCAAGCCCCAGGTCTGACACCAAAATAAATAAATAAATAAATAAAAGCAATGCATGATGGGAGGAGGGGGGTGATTATGATCCAAGTATATGTATGCATGTGAGAAAATGTCATCATGAAACTCATTAAAGAATAATAATAAATGGAAGAAAAAGAAAAGCAGTGGTTAGAGAAAACCAAAGGAAAAACTAGAAGAAATAGCCCAGGAAAACAAAGCAAACTTCTGGAGAAGTCACAGACAAAACAGTCAGATGTTTGTGTACATATTGAATGCACACTAAAGAATAAGATCTGTTCTGTTAAAGGCACAGTAAGAACAAAGGGAACCTTCTAGAAATGACAGAGCTAACTGCTGAAATTATAAAAGCTCAGTAGAGATACTGGAAAGTAAAGTTGGAAACTGCTAGAACCTAGACAGGAGAAAGAAAAGGTAGATTATCCCCAGAGCTCAACACCTGACTAAGAGTTTCAGAAAGAGAACAGAAAATATACGACCCAGTGAGATGATGAATATACAAAAAGAGGTATTCCGGGACGGTACTGTCCTAAGTTGATAGTATGAATGAGGTCAGTCAGAGATTAGTACATGAATAAAGACATATGGGCTGTCCTGCTATCCAGAAGGCCCAAGGTAAAGACAGAGCTCAAAAGTGACTCTTCCAGCAGTGCCCATCTAATAGCAGAACATTGACTGGATGCTGGAGTATATTACAGCAGGTCCTCCCACAGTTCTGAAGAAAGGTTCTCTATACGCAACATAATTTTGCATGACAGAGAAATACAGTTTTGTACATACAGAGACTAGATTTTTGTACATACAGAGACTATCACCGTTAGCTAATTTCAAGTAAGAGTTAAACATAAGATCCTAGCTGGGCATTGGTGGCTCACGCCTGTAATCCTAGCTACTCAGGAGGCTGAGATCTGAGGATCATGGTTCAAAGCCAGCCCTGCAGGAGACTCTTTTCTCCAATTAACCACCAGAAATGGTACTGTGACTCAAGTGGTAGAGCGCTAGCCTTGAGCTGAAGAGCTCAGGGACAGCGTCCAGGCCCAGAGTTCAAGCCCCATGACTGACCCAAAAACAACAACAACAACAAAACCAAAAACATAGAATCCATGGCAAAATAGATAACCCCAGAGTAGCAGTGAAGGAGAATGTAGCCTGGAGAGGAGGCCCAAAGGGTTGAGCCATGGGTCTGTGTACAAGAGGCCCAGGGGGGCGGGGTAGGGGTGGGGCCAACGTAGTCTAATCAAAGACAAAGCCTTCATTTAATGTAGACTGAGGCACCAAGAAAACCGGAAGTGATCACTCACATGTGAAGTGCAGCCAGCAACTGACAGTATTGTAAGAGGGCAAGTCTGTCTGATGTGCATACTAGAGATAGTTTCTTTTGAATCAAGGGTGTCTGATACTGGTCTCAGAAAATAGGATGCTTTAAATGTAGCTTCATTGAGTACTCAATAATACTTACCTGGCTATGTCAAAATAGATGCTATGAACTATGGCTACCAGATACAATGTAAGTATACTGATGTATAGACAGAGATAGACTTGGGTGGGTATCAGAATTCTGGTAGTTTTGTCTCATCAATTAGGAGACCAAATGTTATTCTGGTGGGTCATGCTTGTAATCCCAGCAACTTGGGAGGCTGAGAAAACGAGGATTGCTTTGAGGTCAGCCTAGGTTGAAAAGCTCACAAGACTTCCCCTCCATAGCTGGACAACAGTAGTGTATGTCTGTGATCCCAGTGACAAAAGGAAGCATAGTATACACTGTTTATTTTTTTGTGCTTCCTTTTGTCACTGGGATCACAGGCGTACACTTCTGTGTCCACACTTGGACAGGACACAAAATTGTTATCTCAAAAACAGCCAGTGAAAACAGCCGGGAGCAGTATCAATACATAGCCTAAATTCACACCTTTAATACAGCCAAAAATCAAACATCGAAGGAGAAATCAAAATTTAAGTATTTAAAACAGCAGCAAACTGAACTAAATATAGATTAGAAAGTAGCAAGTAGTTTGTCTTTCCAGATTTGTGAGGCCAAAAGAATCAGCCCCAAACTGATTCTAATCCAGTCATAAACAACATAATCAGGGCCAGGAACATTGCTATGTAGCTATTTGGGCGGTAGAGACTGAGGCCTCAGATCAGCTTTGGCAAAAAGTTAGCCAGGTTCCCATCTCAACCAATAGCTGGGCATAGTGGTATGTACCTGTCATTTTAGTTACTGGGGAGGCATAGGTAGGAGGCTGGTTCTGGGTAAAAAAAATGTGAGATCTGAAAAATAGCTAGCAAAAGGGCTAGGGGCATGGCTGTAGTGGTAGAAAGCCCACCAAACAAAGCGAAATACCATAGCCTAAAAAAGTAATTCTAGTGCAGGGAAGGTGGATCAGTGGCAGAGTGATTGCTTTGTATGCATGAAGCCCTGGGTTCGATTCCTGAACACCACATAAGCAGAAAAAACCAGAAGTGGCACTGTGGCTCAAGTGGTAGAGTGCTAGACTTGAGTTGAAGAGCTGAAGGACATCACCCAGGCCCAGAGTTCAGGCCCCATGACCGAATTCTAGAATAAGAAGAGATTTGCCAGTGTGGAGTCTACGATAAGTTTGAAATCTGTTCCTTTATGTACTGTTTTCTTTTAATTTCTTATTGCTACTTATTTTACCAGAATTTATAATATCGGGTTTGAAGATGAGTTTAATGTAATAGTGACACAGTTGCTGCAATAATGCCATTTTCCTTTTTTCAGATCCTAATTTGGAGGAACTAGGAAGGCTTATGAAATTAAGCAATAACGGTGTCCTTGTTCTAATGAAGCAATCTTTCATGTTTCTTGGGACAGAGTTGCGCAGCTAGAGGCCGAGAACCCTTAATCCTTGAGAAAATGAATTATTGCCAGGGACAATGAAACAAAGCTTGCAATTGTCCTTAAGGTTTTGAAAGCACCCCAGTGTTGAGAATGTTTGATTAAATCATTATGCACAAGTATAACGCTGTCCTTAGAGGAAGACTTGAACGCAGAGCAGGAGTGTGGCTTCCTTGAAGACTTTTGAACTATCCTGCTGCTAATAGCATGGTAGGGAGTCCTCAACATTTCGAGCCAGTGATTATCATTTAGACCTTTAAGACGGGAATTTACATCCTATCCTCAGTTACTGTCATACATTTACATCGCCATTCATTACTTAAATGGTCGGTTTTTAAAAATTCCTTCTAAAATCTATTCCTTGCCATGGAAGAGGATGTTGTGGTTTTGCAAGTTTTGTCTTTAAACATGGGTTTCCAGTGTTTTGATTCCCCAGGCAGTTTGGAAACTCAGTGGAGGTGCCTGTTCTCAGGCTCTTGTCATGAGCACTTTGGAGAGTGATGGTTTCCTATTCCTTTTGTGTCTGAGACAATCTTAGTTCAAAGCCAGACTTACCTTCTTTGATACAATTTTTTTTTTTCCCTTTGCTGGGATGTGGGAAGAGACTTGGAGCTGCTGGGCTGCAAGTTTCCTTCCACACCCTCAGCAGAGACAGGCTTGAGACCAAAGGCAGCTCTCCAACTGTGGAACTGCTCCCTCCTCCCAGGCTTGGGTGGGCCGTTCACAAGCTTGCAGCTGAACACAGTGCAGTGGGAAGTGTGCTCCAGGCTGCCCTGTTCCTAGGAAGGAGTTGTTGTGGGCATCCCTTGTTGTTACACCAGGCTGCCTGGGGCATCTTCTACAAGAGTACTTGAGAGAAGGGAAGGCAGCTGGGATTGAGGCAGAAGCCACATTTTGGTTGGGACAGTGGGTCCTTTGGGTGGTCAGATCCTCCAGTACCAGGGGTAATTCTACTAGCTCAGGAGCCCACAAGAGTGGGCTTTAGACCTGTTAGGCAGAGCCTTAATAATTGAGATTAAGGTTGTTCTCTGGTGTCATTGTTGAGACACTGCTCTGTTTATAGTTATTTGTTCCTGCCAGGCATGCTGGCTAATGGACTGCAACCTGCCTTTAAGGCCCGTTGAAAGCAGAATTAAGCCATTGCTTGTTTCCCAAGTTAGTTTGGCAGTTTAGAGTCTTAATAGCCTGCCAGACTACTCAAGAGTGACTGGGGCTTGGATTTTGTGCCTGGAGTTTTGCTCTGCCTTCTCTCTGACTCCATTTTACCTGGGGACCAGGTGTGGCAGAGGAGGGCGCCACCTGCCGGCCGTGTTTCACTTAGCGCCTCCATCTGCCCTGGGATGCACATATCCAAGGTGCATGCTGAGCCCACAGGGAGGCTGGCAATAGCTTGCGTTGTCCTCCAGTAGACACATTTATTTCTCTGATCGTGTGGAGTTCTTTTCAGACTTAGTCTTTTCTCTCAAAGCACCCTACTGGTTCCTTCCTTGTGTGGTCCACTGTCATTTGCAGCAGTGTCCCCAGGTACAATGGGACGTCCTCTCCAGGAGCTTAGCATGGGCAATCTTGTGGTCCCAGCCCCTGCTGCCCAACTTGTGTCAGCCAGTGAGACCAAAGGAACACTGAGGGTGGATGAACAGGGAGATGACGGCTGGAGGAAGCAGACCTACTCTGAAGGACGGTCTTTGGACTCTACAGTATGTTCTCTGATCCTTCTCTCCTGAGCCCCAACTTGTCACCACACTGGCCCCCTAGTCCTTTCCTCAAAGAGCAAAAACTGCCTTTGCTCAGGGGCCTGTGCTCCATCACCTCCTTCACCTCCAGTGCTGCTGTCAGCTCTGGTAACACTTCCTCCCAGGCCGGTGTAGGTAGACCTAGTACCTGTCCTATCGCTGTATCACCCCAGGATAGAGGTTAAAGGGTATGAGTAATTTCTGTTTAACCTTGAGGAGATTGCCTACTCTTCTTTAGGACTCTCTATGTATATCTGTTAATGGAGTGAGTGAATGAATGAGTGAATGGAGCATTTAGGCAATTTCAAGCCTCCTACCTGCCTGCCTCAGATAGTTTAGGACTATCCTTGGGTGTGAGTACGAAGAGGAAGTGATTAGAGGAGACAGAAAAACCTTAGGGCCTCCTGGCTGCCCTTTACAGCCTGCCACTGGCAGTTGGTTAACTTTACTCAGCCCAGCTGCAATAACCCTTCCATCGTGCTTTGATTTGCCAGGATTGGGTCTTAAACCTGTGGGTATAAAAACAGTTCTTGTTTCATGGCTCTTAAGTTTTGCCCTTTCAACTAGGTTGTAATCTCCTTAAAAATCTAAAGGAATGGAGACAACGCCCCAAGGTAACTTTTGTTCTGGATCTCACCTAGTGGTGAGATGTGAAGACCAGAGTAATGAGCCCCCCCTCCAGCTCCAGGCTTCTGTGCCTTCAGAGAACTGAACCCAAGCCCTTAGCTGTGCAACTCTGGCCCAGCATTCCCCCTTTTCTCTCCTGGTTCCCCAGCACAAGTCCTTTATACACCTGTTCACCTCCCAGTCCAGGCAAGCTCACCTCTCAGGTGCACCACGACACTCCTGGGATCAGAAGTAATATGTTGGAGATGGGTGTGGGGTGGATCTACGCAGACCCCTTTGGCTCTGTCTTGCCCCTGCCTTCCACTTGGGCACCAAGGACACTGCCTGGTCCCTCGACATGTCTGCTTCAGTTCTGTACCTTGATGTGTGCCGTTTCATTCCTTTACATGTTTGTAGGGTGAACTTGGAAAGGTGGAGGCTGGTTGTGCAGACCATCTAGGGATCCTGGGAAAGGCACAGTGAAGGAGGGGGCGTTATGTTCCCATATGACCAATACCCGATTCTCCTCACTGCCTCCCCCTGGACAGCTGCAGCTCCCTCTGTTTGCCAAGTGCATTAGCTACCACTAGACCAGCCATATTATGTCCTTGACACAGTGAATGAAGCCTTTATTGGGTCCCAGCAAGAGGAGGTGGCAAAGACTGTGTTGGCTCTGTGTTTATTTTGTTTTCCTTTTGCACTTGAACTTATGGCTTTAAGGCCAGGCAGGGCTTGTTTGGTGTGTGTTCTGTGGGGTTGTTGTATGCTTCTGTGTTCCCAGCTAGTTTCACAGTTCCAGCCTTTTTTCCCAAACTTGTCACCCTCACTTTTTGTCCAGTCAGGTTAGGTGTAGGTTCGTTCTCTCTCTGTCTCTCTGTGCTACCGGGTTTAAACCCAGGCCTCAGGCTTGCTAGGCAGGTGCTGTACTGCTTACACCACATATTTAGTCTTCTTTTTCTCTCTTGTTTTAATTGTGACATTAGTCAAGCAGACCCCAGAAATGGTAACCCTGGTTCCAAAGAGCAAAGAACCCTTCTGGCTATGAATTTGTGGGGTTAAGCTGAGGGGCCTCTCTTCACAGGGACTCCAGGGCGGGAGGGCGTAGGTATACTACTGTGCCAGGTACAATGCAAGAGTCTCAGGAACAATGCAAGAGTCTCAGGAAGACAATACATCAACTGTATAAACAAATGCAGTTTGTAGTTGTCAATTATACCCCCAGCAAAGCTGGGAAAGGAAGAGGGTGGGGAAGAATTGACATGTAAGAGGCTCAGGCTGCAAAAGAGAGAAATTCATTCCAGTTGTACCTTAGGCAAAGGGAAGGTAGCTTTTAACACTATTAAAACTGAAGATATAGGATGTAGTCCAAACTACCCTTGAACAGCATCCCAGGAGGGTCTAGAGTCAGAAATAGATATACTGTTGTGTAGGAGCAGTGTTGGAAGTGTTGGTTCTTTTGGCTGCATGTGCTGTCCTTGTATGAAGAACTTGTCTTTCAACCCCAGAACCACACCGTGCTTGAGTCATGGATTCTGAGACAGGTTATTTTCCCTTTGCTTTATATTTCACCATCATTTGGGCCTCATTTCTGCAGTTGTGTTTGTGCGTGATGTGTGGACCAATCAAAAGACTACCGTTGGGGTTCCACTTCATTTCAATAGTAAATGTATGTAATATTTAAATACCCATATTGTCTCCCTTTTGTCACCAGCTTGCTCGTGGGGGCACCTCGGGCAGAAGCCTTGCCACTGCAGAGGGCCAACAGGACTGGAGGCCTCTACAGCTGTGACATCACCTCTCGAGGACCGTGCACACGGATTGAATTTGATAATGATGGTACATTCTGCCCTCGCTCGTGTTGATTTGGCCATTCTCCCTGCACCCTACCAGAAAGGGGGTGCAGGTGTTTACGCTCACTTAATGCGGGCCTCTTAATCGCATCAGTCTTGACTTTATTTTCCCTCAGAATACTTTGTAAAGAACATTAGAATGCCACATTTTTTATTGCATTGATATAGTGTGTTTGTGTTGCCATCTAGTGGAGTGTTGAGGTTCTACAAGAGACAGTTGTAAAACTGCACTCAGATAAGTGGGGAAAAAAAATAGAATGTGTATATCTTATACTCAAACAGAAGCTTAAAATATTTGGGAGAAAAACTATTGCTGTTAAAAATATCTGGCAGGAAAACGATGCATTTCTTTTTGCTAGTGTTAGAGTGGGTGTTTTTTTGCAGGGTGGTGGTGGTTTGGTTTTGTTGTTTTGTTTTGGTTGTGAAGCTTGAACTCTGGGCCTGGATACTGTCCCTCAGCTCTTCAGCTCAAGGTGAGTGCTCTACCACTTGAGCCATAGCACTACTTCCAGTGAGCCATACCACTGCTTCCAGTTTTCTGGTGGTTAATTGGAGATAAGGGTCTCACAGCTTTTCCTGCCTGGGCTGGCTTGGAACTGTGATCCTCAGATTTCAGCCTCTTTGGAGTAGCTAGGATTATAGGCGTGAGCCACTGGCTCCTGGCTTTAGTATTAGAGTTTGAAATTTGGGTTTCATGTTTGCTTGGCTGGTACTCTACCACTTGAGCCACATCTCCAGTCCATCATTTTACTGATTATTTTGGAGATGAAGTATCACTGACTTTTCTCCCTAGGCAGGCTTTGAATAATGATCCTTTAGGTCACAGCCTTCTGAGCAGCTATTGTTATTTTTCAACTGATTAGAAAATGATACGTATTAGTTGTAGGAACTTGAAAGTTTTGGGTTTTTTTGTTTTGTTTTGTTTTGTTTTTGTCGGTTGTGGGGCTTGAACTCTGGGCCTAAGCGCTGTCCCTCAGCTCTTCAGCTCAAGGCGAGCACTCTACCACTTGAGCTATAGCAACACTTCTGGAACTTTTATAGACCTATAAAGCATAACTTTATAAATTTGAAAGTACATAGACCTATAAAGAAAGAAAAAAAAGCAAAACATTACTGATAAACTCGGTATCTAGACATACTGGCTATTAGACATTTAAATAATTTTCCCCCTCTGCTTAAATGTTTTCATATTTTTATAGTGATTCAAGATTGAAATTAGGTCTGCTTGCTTCACAATAAGGAAGGAAAAACCTTGAATACTGAATCATAAAATGAGCTTGACATGATACTGAAGTAAGGCCAGGTACTGATGGCTACGTTTGAGACTGAGATCAAAGCCAGCCAGGGCAGAAAGCTGTGAGACTCTTATCTCCAATTAACCATCAAAAAACCAGAAATGGAACTGTGGATCAATTGGTAGGGTGCCAGCCTTGAGCACAAAAGCTCAGGAATAGCACTGTAGGCCTTGAGTTCAAGCCTTAATGCTGTCATAAAAAAAAAGTGTGTTTTGGGGAGGGGTTCTTAAGTATACATACATGGTATTCCTGCTCCCCCCACAACTGATACTGAATCTTAGGCCTTATCTCTAATAATAATTTTTTAAAAAGAATAACATACTGTTACACTTTTTAGAAATGGGGAATAGATAAAGGAGTAACCACTTTTTCTTGGTTTGGTTGGTAACTGGACCTTAGAAAATGGGTTTATAATGTTACTTTAAAGAGCATCTATTGAAGGGCTACCTCTAGTTACATAATTTTCTAATACCTTACGTATAGGATTTTTCAGAAAAATTCTTACCAATGACCATTTATCTGTTCTCTTAATAAGAAGTCAATGTTTTGGTCTGAGTAACTGGCATTCCTAGATGCTAGACGTGGAGTCAGGCAGTTGTGGACAAGTTTTATTGTATTTTTGTTCATCTGTGGGCTCCTAGTCAGTTTAGTCATCCAGAAGTGCTAATTGACTGTGTAACCTGTTGCTCTCCACAGCTGATCCAATGTCGGAAAGCAAGGAAGATCAGTGGATGGGGGTCACTGTCCAGAGCCAAGGTCCAGGGGGCAAAGTGGTGGTAAGTAGAGAACTGCATTCATGGGGCTGGGAAAGTGGCTCAGTGGTAGAACGCTTGCCTTGCATGCATGAGGCCCTGGGTTCAATTCCTCAGCACCACATAAGCAAAAAGAAAAAAGCCGGAAGTGGTGCTGTGGCTCAAGTGGTAGTGCAATAAATAGACACCCCATGG